GTAATCCAGGAGATGAAAATCTTTACATGCTTCACCAGGGAGTCTGTTGGTTACATTTAAGCTTTTTCCACTACTCATTGTCTGGGAGTGTTAAGAAGTGGCTGGGGGGAGGGAATTGGATAGAAACTGTTAAGTGACTGAAATGCAGACATTGTCACTCTTGGGAATTGCATTGCAAAGGCCCAGGAAGTACCAACATGGTACTCAGCAAGGAGGACAATTGTCAGAAGATATGACAAGAGGATTGTCTGTGGAGAAAGATAAATTACTAGAACAAGGAGAGGCTTACTCATCTGGGTGAAACATTCTTCAATACACTTGTATTTGAACAATGATCATATGTCCTTTTTTATGAAAGCAAAGCCCCTTCCCAAGCTTGGCAATAGGGAGTAATTAAAATAATACTGATTATCTGGAAGGCATCAGATTGCCGAAATTACAAGTTTGCTCTAGGAGAAACTTGAGGAAGGAGGGTGAAAACCAGGAGGCTGTTTCTTGCAAAAATTCTTTCCAAATAAATTAACCAAAATAATGGGACTATGGGAAAATTAATTTATTTAAAAAGAAAACAAACCTAGATGAAATAAACAACTGCTAGAAGCAGATGTTACCAGCAGATAATTTGACTTGTCTAAAAGTAGCCAGAAGTGAATTAAATATGAGCTGAAACATTTGAAGTAGTGGGAAGAGCTTTACTAACATTGATTAGTTCTGCAGATAACAAAAAGATAGGTGAAAATAAGAATAGTTAGAGTAATACATCTAGCATGATTCAAACTGAGAGGTGCAATAAAGATTGTGTTTTCAGAGGGAGAGAGTGTTGCTGGAAAGCAGCTGGAGGTGAGAGGTGCTGATGGGAGGAGAGGAAGAAAAAGTCAATGAGGTGCGAGACAAACAGATGAAGCTTTTTGTAACAGCTGAAACCATGTAAAATAAGCAAAAAATCAGTAACCTGTAGATCTCAAGAGGGAATCAAAATTTCAAACCCAAAGATCTTCTTGTAGCAGCTAAATGCCAGCCTAATGCAAATTTGAGCGATTGTGTAATCTGCAGTGGAGAAGTCTCAAATTCTGGTCACGTGGTCATAAACTTTAGGATTCAGGAAATGTGAGAAAGCTCTATAAAAATGTCTTGAGAGAACTCGAAAGCAGGCTGGTGTATTTTTATATACTGCAGATCTGCAGTGCTGTAAGTTGTACTTCCTGGAAGCACTTTGTACATAAACTAATTTAATGTTAGAATACATTACAGAAATATATTAAAATCAAAAAGTTAAAGTTCTGCTTAGCTAACATGTATTTTGCATCAGTTTGAATAAGTGAAATGCTGGAGTTTTCCTGAACCTTTGAATGACTTTTGAGAGATAAACACCAGTATGTCAAGTATCAATAAGATTTGCTACTCAAAAAAGAGAAATTTGTGAATTTTGTGTATGCAAGATGATTGGTAAAGGGGAATGGTAAGAAAGTTGATGATGATGAAAGCTTATGAAGTGCATGCCAACAAGCATCAAAGAACAATATGGCAGAAAGCACATAATGCTTGAACAAGTGTAAAGGGTATTTACTAAGCTCTGAAAGGGCTGTAAAAACTGGTAATATGAAAAATTAGGTCAAGTAGCTTTTTTTTATTCCCGTGCAGCCAGCCCAGTATCTGCCATTCCATTAGGGGATGTTGTTTAGTTTTTTCTTTTGGGATTATAAATGGTAAATTAATTGAACCAAATCTACTTGGCTTTCTGGAAGCAAACCAGTAATTTGCTTTGAGATGGTCTTGAGATAGCTCTTTGCTGTGTAATCAACTTTTCTGATTCTTTAAGTTTATGTCCAGGTTTTCTTGTACTATTACATCTCTGTAAATGTTTCCTACACAAACCTGGATATGGTTTGGAATAGCTGTCTTGTCTTTCCTTTTGTGACATGGCACAAAGTTTTTTTCTCTGCTCTTACTCAGAGTGTTTGAGTCCCTGGGGAAGGTGTGCCATTCTCTCTGTGTAGGGATCCCTTACATGAGACAGTTGTGGTGTCTCATGAGGATCCATCCTGAGTCCTCATGAACAGCCTGGATATCACTTACATGTGGTGGTGTTAGACTGCACTGGCACTCCCTCACCCCTTTCTCAGCTGTGTCCCAGGCCCTGGGTTTAGAGGAGAAGCTCTGGTGCTTTGTTGGGAGAGCTGAGCTGTGCCCAGGCTGTGCCCAGGCTGGGCTGGGTTTAGAGCAGAAGCTCTGGTGCTTTGTTGGGAGAGCTGAGCTGTGCCCAGGCTGTGCCCAGGCTGGGCTGGGTTTAGAGGAGAAGCTCTGGTGCTTTGTTGGGAGAGCTGAGCTGTGCCCAGGCTGGGCTGGGTTTAGAGCAGAAGCTCTGGTGCTTTGTTGGGAGAGCTGAGCTGTGCCCAGGCTGGGCTGGGTTTAGAGCAGAAGCTCTGGTGCTTTGTTGGGAGAGCTGAGCTGTGCCCAGGCTCTGCATGGAGCCGTCTGCTCCAGCTGGGAATGCTGCACTGGCCCTGCAGAGCTGCTGCTTGGCTGAGGAACTGAGACAGAATTTATTTGCCTATGGCTTAGCAGAAGCTTCACAGTGTCCAAGTGGTGTTTGGGTTCTTTAGAACGTGGCAACGTTCCGGTTTCCTCCTCACTGATGAAGATGCTCCTCAAGCCCTGTGAGGTGTCACCCCTCCAGCTCTGTAAGGATGTCACTGTGTGTCACACTCACGTGCACAGGTGACTTCTTGGAGTGTGAGTTACACACTGTTTTCTGTTTTACCAAGGACAGGTATAATTTTCATCTCATCTTAATATTTTTAGGTGGTTTTTAAATGAATGTGGCCTGGCCCTAATCACCAACTTCAGATTAAGTAATTTAAATGGTAAAAGTGGAAACATTTCATTTTTTCTGTTTGTATTTTCACAAATTATTTTTTCTTCAGTGGTTGATATAACCCTTCAAAGTTAATTTGCAGCTAAATATACACACTTTCTGTGTAATTTGGTTCTTACTCTTGTGACCCAGAAGGGATTGTTAACTCTATACAACTGTACTTAATTTCATCCTGTATTTGAAGGGTGGCATTGGTATAAGGGCCTTGCCTTAAGCTTGAATTTGAATGTTGATGAAACAGTAATTCAGCTTACAAGAAATATGTTATATATGAACCATAGTCAAATTTAGTAGTTTTGACATTTTGAATCCTTGTGGACTAGATATTTAGGAAAAAATACTTTCAGAAATTCCACTGTAGAAATACAGAGGGGACCTAACTCATTTCAGAATCCTTTAAGTTTTACCTTCATGGACTCCAAATGGATCTTGTAGACAACATACTTGTTTTTCCTAATATCTACACGTGTGTCTCTGTCTCCAGATACTGAGAAACTTGGTTTAATAGTTCCAAGATTTTGGAATAAATTGGTATCTCTTTTCTGCTTCAGAGTTGTTTAGACACTGGAAAAGGAAAATAAACTCTCCTGCCTTTTCAGTTTTTAATCAGCTTTTCAATTCTGAATAGAGTAATAAAATTTAAGACATTGGTCTCTGTGCAGATACTGCATAGAGCAAAAAGAAATACAAATTATTAATGCAAAGCTTTTATACTCAATTCAGTATGTGTTATGGGAAATGATACCCAGTATGGCACTGCATAAAACTTAACTGCAGGTAGGATGTTTCCTCTCCCAGTGTGTATACAATTAAGTCTGTTTATCTGAAGACTCATTAACTCAAAGTAAAGTTGTAATTTCTTAAAATAAGCACAGACTTTAAAAGAGGTTGGTTTTAATTTTATATTTAATATAAACTCTTTCAGAAAGGAAACTGTATGTAGCAAACCATTGCTTTTGTGCTTTAATCTGCATTTAAGAACGTGGCACTTCTGGTCAGCAGTGAAGACTTGGCTGCCTTTTGCAAGTGAAGAAACAATACAATTTACTTTTGCCTGTGACAGATGTTGGATTTGTGTGGGTGTGGTGGTTTTTTATAGCACTGACTGAAGCAAAAGTAGGTTGGGGAGATGACAGTAAAGGACTTTCCTCTGTCCCTTTGGATCTGAAAATGCAGCAGTCTAAACAGTGGGAGTGTGGTGAGCTTGAGGACAGAAGGAACCCTTGAAGTGGGTTGTTAGATATCGATCTTAATTGCTTCCTAATTTTGCAAAATGTGTCACCTCCCGAAACAAAGAGGCAATTAGGACTGAATGAGCTGAGAGCATTCTGTTAGAGGAACAGGCTGTGGCTGAGGAGAAGTGCAGGTGGATTGAAGCTTTTCTTTCAGCCCTGGAATGCTCTGGAGCTTGGCTTGTGATGGCAGTTTGTCTGGGAGAAGGGTGGAACTGTTACAGCTCCTTCCCACTCAGTCTCATCCACTACACACAGATTTCTGGATTTTGCCTATACAATGAGGAATTCAGTTGCTCTACTGAAGGCAAATTCTGATTTGATAAAGATCTTGATCCACAGGTAAATACCAAAGATGTGGCTCCTGAGCTGCCTTAAACAGTTCTGTCATCTGAAGCTGAGTGATTCAGGGATTGGCTTAGGCTAAAAGTATTTTTCCCTACACTTTATACCTCATCTAAATGGCAGTGACAGAGACTGATGGTGCATGTGGTTTGGTGTCAAATGGAGCTTTTGGTCCTGCTGAAACTTAATGCCATTTGCACAAGACTAGCAACAAAGCCATGGATTAACAGGTCTTCCTGCATGTCCTTCTCAAGGGTGCATTGTGGTGCCATGTGTTGGTGGCCAGTCCTGGAGAGGAGGTTGAGCCAATGGTACCTGTTTGCCACCAGCATTTTGCAGTTGAGATTTTGCAGGCCTGCAGGTGATCTGGAATGTGTGATATTCTGAAGCTTTGGAGAGAGTGCTTAGATGGGTGATGGGAGAGTGTTTATATTGTCTGATGGCTGGATGTGGGGAGAAATGAAAATGATAGGTTTTCTTTAGTTACTGGTATTCCATTTTACATTTATCCTAATGTCTGCAATGGACTGGTTTTGCTGTCTTTATAGGAGGAAGAGGAGCAAGAAGAAGAAGATGATGATGAAGATGATGATGACACAGATGACCTTGATGAACTAGATACAGACCAGCTGCTGGAGGCTGAGCTGGAGGAGGATGAGAACAATGAGAATGCTGGTGAGGATGGAGAAAATGACTTTTCTCCCTCCGATGATGAGGAGATTGCCAACCTCCTGGAAGAGGGAGATGAGGGAGAAGATGAAGATTCTGATGCTGATGAGGAAGTTGAGCTGATTCTTGGAGATAGTAAGTGTGTGGCCACCTGCTTAAGGTCCTGACAAAGAGGTAACATCTAAATTTCCCCTGAAATGACTTAACTGACTTGTCCCTGGCTGGTATGAGTGACAGGCCATCATCACCCTGTTCACCTGGAGCTTCTCTTAGTAATCTGCTGGTAAAAACAGCTCTTATGTGAGAGACCAACTGTGCATTCTGGAAAAGGAGGTATCTGCTTTCTTCAGATGCTTCCAGGTGTGTGTGTATGTGTGAGAACTCTGTGTGAAGAAGCTTTGTATGACTATTTGCCTGTCCTCCCTTCAAGGGGAAACAGGTTTAACTCTTACCTCACCTGTCCTCTCTGCCTCTTGTGAGCCTATAAGGACAGAGAAGCACTTTTGATCCTTGGTGCTGTTCTTTCTCTTTTGTAATTGCTTAAAGTGCAAAGCCAACATGACATTTCTGACTTCATTTCCTTTATTACACTGTTCTGAAGCTAACATAACTTTTGGGATACAATTTAAATTGTTCTCTTTTTTGGGTGTTCTGCAAATACAGTGATTTGAAAATATCAAGTGTGTGTGTATGTGTGCATAGAAAGGTCTGAACTTTTTATGTACCAATAACGTTTGGAGAAATGCTTCACAAGAAAGAAGGTGAGTAGGATAGCATGAGGCTTGAGATCTGTGACATTACATTCTGTTCCCTCTTTTGCAGCACAATTTTTGAGTATGTGCAGCCAAACCACTTAGTTAGTTTTAATTTTCAAGCTGTAAAAATGGACATAATGGACATAATATAGTTACCTTAAGTTAAAAGGTTGGTAAGGATGAGTAATTACAATGTGCAAGGTGTTTGAAGTCCTGCAGTGATAGATTGACTCCCATCTCAGCTCTTACATCAATCTTCCCTGGCAGTGAGCTGGAGGATGAAGCATGCCAGGCCCCTCTGGGGCAGTGATGTGGCTGGCAGGCTCATCCATGCCTTCTGTGGCAATGTAGCTCAGTCATTTTTAAGGACATGGCCACATGAGGTTGCCAGAGTTATTCTGTGGGGTCACTCTGCTGTTCTCTAGAAGGAAATAGGTTTATACTGTAGGGCCATATAAGATATTTGCACAGCTCAGTCATTAATGGCATCTTGCAGTGCAACATTTTGGGGTTACAGGGAACCTCTGTGTCCTAGTAGTGGACAGGATCTTTGTGACACAACTCCACTTGTTTTTCCTCAGGGAATGCAGAGCCAAAAGCTCTTCAGTGAGCACCTGGGGTGCTGTACCTTGAATTGTCCAATGGGCAGCATGGCCAGGATGTTCAGGCCATTTCAATAACTCTTCCTGGAACAAACCAGGGGCTACTTGACAGAAATTTCAGGCATGCTCTGCAGAGCACTGTTATGAAGTGGCCACATCTGTACCTCATTTATAGATAGAGCTACTTGAGCAGACCTTGGATCTGTGGAGCAGCAGCCAGCCCATCCTGTGGCTGTTAGGTTGCTTAGCAGCAATTTCAGGAACTCAGAGCAGGAAGTGCAGCTCTGCCAGGCTCAAGTGTGCATGGCCCTTGATGGGTTTGATGAGTGGGGTTCTGTGGCAGCTTTTCAGTGACTTCATCTGATTTCTTTTCCCACCCAGCAAAGAGCAATTAAAATTTTCCTTTGCTTATGCTTGTTCCAGAATTAAAAGTTGGAATGGCACTGCCAGTATAGAGAGTACTGGCATGGGGTGCATTTAGAGTGTTCCCTGCTGCAGATTCTTGCTGTATTGTGGGTGAACCTCCATAACATACAGTGAGTGTTGCCAAAGCAAAATAATGCAGAGAACAATTGAAATAGGGAAGTGAGTGGCATTGGTCTCTTGTGCTTTAGAAGAGGTTCTAATTCCTTTTTTAAAATAATCCATGGAGAACCTGAATTTCTCTTCCTCCCCCTTTGTTACCACCTTGGGGACGTTAGATCTGTTTGTCAAAGCAGTTCATGCATTGTGCAGGTCTTTAAAGAGCTTCTTCCTGGGCCAGGTGGGTGTAATTTCTGAAATGCATATGTGACATAGGATGGAAGAAATATATAGAATTCTCACCAGCAGCCTGACTGACTCTTGATTCTGATTCCTCTCTTCTTCCATAATCCAAAATGGCAACTTCCAGGCAGGTCTGTGCAAACTAATTATGCCAAGCAGTTAACTGCAGTCAGGCTTACTTACAGAGCTCAGAACTGGAAGGTTGTGTGGTGAACTGGGGAATAGTGAGGAGATCCTTTCTCAAAGCTTTCCTCTGAGTTAAAAAAAAACCCCAAACCAGCAAACTCCCCCCCCGCCAAACTCCAACTTTCTCAGCTTTTCTTCTCCAGAGTTTCTGGATTTTTATCTTGCTTGTGCTTCTTTCCCTCTTACTGTGTAAGTGTAGCTGCTGCAGCACTGGCTGGTGTTTTCTAACTCCCCAATGTAGCTGTGGCGTTTCTGGGAGCACTGATGGCCCCTCAGCTTAGGCTCAGTCTGATGGATGGTGACATGGAGCATCCCTTGCTGATCACAGTGGAAAGGCAGCTGGCTGATCTTTAGGGAGGAGGGTTGGGGGAAAGGGTTTGTGCCCTCTCTGCTTGCCTGTGATTTTTTTTCCCTAAGGATAGCATCTGAGGAGGGGTGAACCCCTTCCAGAAGGTTTTTCTATCTTAACAGGCATTTAGAGATCCACTATTTCTGAGATGGCTAAGTGGAAGTCTTGGTGTCTTTTTTTTTTTCTTTTCTTTTAAACTATTTTTAATACCCAGTTATCTGCTGCATCCAATGAATTCACATAAGAAAAAGAGCCAACATCACCTCTAAGGTAAGGAAGGAGCCCTCTTGCTGCCAGAGCTGCTACCACTTCCCTCTTGGACAACTGAGGGAGGAGAGATCTTGTGTTTGAAGATAAAAAGCAAGTGTGTGTATGTGTGTGTGACTGCTTCTGGTAAATCCCTTCATGCCTTCATTCTGTACCACAATGAAGAAAAGCAGGAAAAGCACAATTTGCAGGTCACCTTTAGGAAGTGACCTGTAGTTAAATTCATTACAGAAACCTCTGAGATACTAGAGGAAGGTTCTAGTTGGGAGTGTGTGGATTGCTTCCACCTTAGTGGGGTCCAGCTTACTCCATAAGGAATTACCTTGTTCACATCATACAGGGGCCAGGCTGGTGGGGCCATCCAGCTGTGAGGAACGACTGCCACATCTGTCCAGCCCCTGGTGTGAAGAGCTGTTGCCCTTTCTTGTGCACAGGAAGTTGTGCAGGCAGCTCTGCTGGTGTCCTCCCTACCTTGTGGGGGAAAAGCCTGCCAGCTGATAGGAACTGCACTTGCTAAAGCTGCTCTCCTTGAGCCTCTGTTGTAAGCAGGGAAGGAAGGCTCTGGTGCAGATTTCCTGGCTGCATTTGAGCAGTTTGGAGCACTGATGGTGCAGGGCAGGGGTGACCCTCTCCCGTGTCACAAACCCAGCATAACTCACGTGTCTCTTTTGCAGCTGACAGCTCCGATAACTCAGACCTGGAGGACGACATCATCCTGTCCCTGAACGAGTGAGGAGCGGCTGGGGCGGGGTGTGGGCAGGAGGAGATGCTCCATTCCCACAGGAGAGACCAGAGACCAAATTGGAAAGCGACTGAGCACCCCAGCCCTGCTTTTCTGGAGAGCCTGAGGATCTCCTGCCGATCCGCTCTGTTGGTTTGAGTCAGTTCGAGGCTCGGGGCTAAGTCTCAATAAAGAGACCTGGGGCTAGGCCTCATTTCTCTCTGCCTTTTTTTTTTTTAATTTTTCATTTTAGGCTGAGATGACTCTTCAAGGAAACTTCTGAAGATATTTCACAATATATTTTCTTTGTATAAAGTTCTTTCCTAAAGAACAGAAATAGTTTTATAAAAAAAAAAAAAAAAAGAAAAAAAAAAAGGCAAGTGTTCTAGTAAAGAGGGGAGACCTTTGTATTCCTGTAGTACCTTGTACCATGGGGTAGGTTTGGGGAGAAAAATTGTTTAAAATTAAAAGAAAATTTATGCAACTACTAAGTGAAATAAGAGGATCATGATTTCTAATATCATTGAGGAGTGAGAATATTTTTATTTTAAATATGATTTTATTTTTAAAAAAGAAGATCTACAGGTGTTATACCTGCTAATGCACCAGTGTGTTCCAGATGCTTTTGTCCTCCAGGGAAGAGCTCCTGGGGTGTTTGCCAATGCCAATTTGTGCTGTGGTACCAGCTATAGTGGGAGGCTGAAATCCTGGCTGGGCCTAGTCAGAGCCTGGTATTCCTGAAGACATGGGAATCTGAGATTGAAGTTTGGGCCCTTTTTCTCCCCTCTGCCCTTTGTGGTTCAAGTTTTTTAATCTTTCTTTCTTTCTTTCTTCTTTTTTTTTCTTTTTTTTTTTCCTCTTGCCCTCTGTGTGGAAACTGCAAATTGAAGGCCTTTTTCTTTAATGTAAAGTGTATTTATTAAAAAATTAAATACAAATCCTGTCTGTGTCTATGGCTGTGAATTGTAGCCATGCAAAAGCAGTGCTCCATGTGCCTGCAGGGCTTGGCTGAGAGCAGTCAGGTGTAGCTGGAACCTCTCTGCAGTAAGGAAGGGCAAAAGAAACATAAAGGAAACACAAAAGGGATGCCACAGCAGCTGTGGGTGCCAGTCTGATCCCTTGGGTTGCCTGACAGCCTGGAATTCTCAGTGGCATGCTCACCACATTGAGTGGGAGCTGGATGATGCCACTGGTGCTGGGCTGTTCTTGTGTGGGGAGGTGCTCTGGAGCATCCACTCTGCAGCTCAGGCAGGGAATTCCACATCTCCCAGGATGTGCCAGGAGCTGGGAGCAGCACCTGCTTCCTCCTGTGCTTTGGCATTGCCCAGGCTGCCCTGTGGCTGTCAGGGCACAGGGAAAATCAGATTGGGGTGTGACAAGAGGCCCTGCCCTCAGAACGGGAGGCAGAAATGGCAGTGGAGTGTTTGAGTTGCCAGAGCAGCACCCACTGCCCAGCTTGGGCCTGTGCTCAGCTGGCAGGGGCATGTGCTCACTGCTTGTCTGGCCAAGGCCGTGGCTGTGCTGTTTATTCCCATCCACTCACCTTTTAACCCTCTCTCTGTTTTTGCCACTTGCAGAATAGGGTTTGAGGCAGAACAGGGAACTGGAGACTTCTCACTTCTTGACACTACAACCACTTTTCCACCAAGAACTGCTCATTTCAGCTAAGGCTCACAGTTTTACTGCTTGAACAGGAAGGATATCCTTTTGAACTGAAAGAAGGGATAGCTTTTTTCCCTCCAGCATTGCATCTACTTAATGCACTTACCCTGAGCTGCTTGTTAATAATTAAAAAGAAAGGTTCTGCTGCAACTTGTAATGGATAATTGTACCCTACACAGTTGATAAAGATGAACAAGTGACTACTACAGCATTTAAGACCAGCAATTGGAGCAGCATTCTGATTAAAGGAGGGGATTGAAAGCTGATCAGCCACCCAACAGCTGTGGAAGTAGCCTCTGCTTTATCAGAAACCCTCCCACCCAACTTCATCATAGAATACGTGCAGCTCAGGAGGAGGAAAAAAATAAAGCATGTGCTCAGCTACTACTCGCAGGGAGATGCAGTGCCAGATGTCCATCTCTTGTTCTGGCATTAAACCCCAGCTGTAATTGACTGCATCTGTTGCTGGTTTGGGCCTGGCTGTTTTGGAGGCATTTGCCAGTTTTGTGAGACAGAACCAAAACACCTGGGCTGGAGCTCCTGTGTGTGCATTTGACTTGAAGGTGAGAGAGATGCTGTGAGTATATGAGCCTCCCTCCCCTCCCACACCTGCCCCAACTGCACTGAACAGAGCCAAAGGAGTGGGTTTGGGCCTTACCCTGTGGGCCTGCAGGTCACCCCCCAAAACTGCTGAAGCAGCCCCCCCACCCCTGTCCTGGGCAGACCTGGCCCCTCTGAAGTTAAATACACATCTGGGGAAGCTGCCTGCACCCCATGCCACTGCCTGAGTTCTGGGGGTCTCAGTGAGGAGTTCTGGGGAAGAGGTGACTGCACCAGCCTGGCTGCAAAGTGGAGTTCAGAACTGGGGACTAACAGGGTTTATTTTGTTTTTGTCAGGCCATAATTCTGCAGCTGCTTGGGATGGGGAGAATTCTCAGCATTTGGAAAATCACCTGCCACCCTGGCATCATGATTTAATCTATTTAAAAGCACGTTGCTTGGAAAGAATCCTATAATCTTCTGGAATACTTACAGCACATGGCTGATGTGCCATACAGTATTTCTTCTATGCAGCAGTCACAGACCCTGGCTTAGAGGGTGGAAGGAGATTTAATTGTCCTGCCAGCTGGCTAAGACATACTCCTACCTCTGCAGCAGAGGGGAGCAGGGAGGTGCTGTTTCCTCCCTTGATGTGAGCAGACAGGCCCAGCACAGCCTGAGCCCTCCTGTCAGCGTGCTCCTCTTTGCACAGGACCCTCGAGTACCTGCCTGGCCCACGTGGAGCACTGCAGCACCCTTCCATGGAGCACAGCCTGAGGCATGCCCTGCCAGCACTGTGGGAGGGAGCAGCACATCCCTGCAGGGCTGGGGTTCAAAAACCTCCCACAGGCCAAGGCTGGCAGAGCAGGGTACACACCTCACCAAGTGTAGCTGAGGGTAATCACTGAGGCTCCTCAGCAATGATCAGAGCCCCTCCAGGGCTCTCAGCCCTGTCTCAGTAGGAAGGACAGCCAGCAACTGCTGTTCAAGAGGCCTTGTAAGACAGAATGTTTGCTGAATGGGTGCTTAGAATAAAAGATGGGGTACCTCAGGCCAAGCAGGAACACTCTCAGACCAGCCCATCCACCACCTCACACCCTATTCTCCCTTTGAGCTTCAGATCAGCCCGAGGAGCCAGACACCAGTACCGTGCCATGATCACCCTACTGCCCCACTGCACTGGGCTGAAAGACTCCATCCTCCCAAAACCAAACTCCAGCACTGCCTTACCCAGCACCCTCGAGCATCACTGAGGGGCCCAGGCCCCCCACCCCTGCACCTTCTCCCCAGCACTGCTGCCCATCCCAGTGCAGGGCCCGTCTTTGATGCTGCAAGATCCAGGTGCTGAGTTACCTTGACTGCCAACCCTTCTCCAGCCTGCTTCTCTTGGAATCAGCCTGGATGCATCTGTGAAGGGAGGGGATGGTGAACACAGGTCCAGGATGGGGCCTTTGGCCTTGGCACAGGCTGTTAAAGCCATGGTGTGGCTCCCTTGCCTGCTGGGGAGCAGGGAAGGCTCAGGTCAGATGGATGCTGCTGCTTCTCTCCCAGGTGTTTTTTCCCTAACTCCCCAACTTCTCCTTTACAACTATTAATTTTGGTAGGAGGGAATTTGTTGCTCTCACATGCTTAAAACCATCAGCCACCTCTCTGGGGAGAGAAATCCCATCATTCAAATCTCACTCAACCTTTGTCTTTTAAACAGCCCTATATTATTTATTTACTTATTTCACAAGGAAAGTGGGAGATGGGGGGTTTTGGGCTGTTCCTTGGCTTTGTCAGCAAACAGTTGCAGCTTTTATAATTACTGGGGTTTTTTTTCCTTCCCTTTCCTAACACTCACACACCATAGCACACACAAGGCCATGGCACAGCACCATGAGCTGCACCTCCCTGCTACCATCAGCCAGGTGCGCACTTGTCCTGCCACCACCTCAGTGCCTCCAGCTGCTCGGACACCTCCAGGGCAGGACACTCCCACAAAAGGCTGTAATCGCTCTAGG